GCAATTTGTCGCTGAGATCTCGCTGCATAATTGACCAGTCAAATTTACGTACACTCGTATTTCTCTTCTAGACTCACCCTTGCGCGGCAACGATGAAACTTACGCGTGTGAAAACGCTCGTACTCGTCGACATGTTGCTTTTAGCGCCACGAGATAATTGAGGCCAGGTAATACATTTTTGTTTGGTTCTGGACATTTTATTTCGCCGTAGTCTTGTAGTATCATCATTTCCCGTGGATTTTCTAATTGCACATGTTTCAGCGGGGTGAATTCTCGTAACAGCGCCGGATGCATGCGTGTTGTTTTAATCAAGATCGACCGGCGCGTTTCGGAAAGATGTTGCATCGCTCGCTTCATCACGACCGCGTACGATCTACAATTCCATGCTTCGCGCTCATTAGGTTATTAAATGATTAAACAATCGTTATTACGGACGCTTATGCGTGCACACGTCGCGCACACTCAATATCCGATCGTACGCATGTACGCGCACGCAGTGCACATTAGCGGACCCATAAAATGCAGCCGAGTGTTAAATAATTCATGCGGAATTGGTTCCGCTGTACAAAGTTTCAAAGAGCAAATATATCACGAGACGTAGCGAACGCATGATTTTTGCTCCAAACCGAGCGTGAAATTCACCGGCGGATCTTCCGCGATGTATGTTTTTGCGGAAAATTGATCGTAATATATCAGTCGTTATTCGATTCCTCTGCTATCTTTAATAATATAAAATCTAGTAGTTAATTCTTGCCAATTTCCGATAATTTTCAATCTTTGTTTAAAAGTCAATAGGACAAGATTAATCAATGAAATATTCTCCGTTGTTATCGATGACCTTGCGCCATTTATTGGGCATTTACCGAATCCCATTACGATAGAAACTTGGTGGCTTTGAGGTTATAAAATCGTCAAGGAAATTTCGTACGTCGTCAGTTGTCGAAAAATATATATCAGACAATACGAGTTGCATCGACCAAAACAAGTAAAAATCTGATGAAGCCAAATCTGGAGAATACGCCGTGTTCTCAGTGCAAGATGGTTTTCTTTGTGGCCTCTGCTGTAGGCGATTTAGTATTGTCGTGCAGCAGAATGATTTTACAGTGGCCTTATCTAACAAATGGTCTTTTTTCTCAATTACATCGCTGAAACATATTAATTGTTTTTGGTGAATCTTTGCTTTAATAGTTGTACCCGATTCCAAAAGCTCATAGTACAGCACACCCTTCTGATCTCATCATATACAGAAAAGAACCTTTTTTCTGAAACGTTTGGGTTTTACTGTCGACGTTGTCAGCTGATCAAAGTCTATTTATGTTTTTTTTTTGCGTTTAGGGTTCTCATTCATAATTCATTTTCCGTCACCAGTTACGATTTTGTGGAAAAAATCTCTGTTTTGATAAGCGAGGTAACGCATATGGTAAATCGGCGAATTTTGTTGTCAATCTTTAGTTCGTGTGAGATTCATTTCCTTTATTATTTATGTATCTTTCTTATATGATATAAATGATTGTAAATAGCTTTCTGGCTTACTCTCAACTTTTTCGCAAGTTCTTGTTGTGTTTGTGTTGTATTTTTATTCAATAAATTTTGCAATTCCTCGTCTTCAAATTTTTTTAGGAACGTAGTTGGTCGATCAAAATCACCATTTCGAAAACATTCAAACCAGTTTCGGCACATGCGATTGGTCACAGTATTTTCACCGTAAATAGCACAAATCGTTTTGGCTGCTTCAGAAACGTTTTTGTTTAAATGAAATGCGAAATGCATCGCGTATCGAATATGCTCTTTGTTGATAGCCATCGTGAACGTTACTAATTATGAGGTTATGAGCATTAAACGTCAAATCATATGTCATTTTGAAAAGTTAAATATCGACATCTTAAAATCGTAAAAGAGCGGGAGAATATTTCAATTCCAAATTTTGCTCTGAACTATGTAAATTTCATCGGGAAGGATTAACTACTGGACCTAATAATTAAAGTGACGCGTTCTCTCAGGCAAAAATATATATACTTATATTTATCCACCGTATTTTACATATCTTCTAAAATTAAAATTTAATTAAAATAAAAATTAAAATTATAATTAAACCTTTTGAAATTATATGCTTTTACACTCTGCTAGGAGTGGATATTCGAATGTAGCGGGGAGATAATCAACGCGCGAGGCTTGAAATTAGGTCTCGCCTAATTATATTTTTATGACCGCGGTGCGATATTTCACAAACGTTGCTCGCGTCTCATAAATAGAGACATATGAGTTTATATAAGCGCCGCGCGTTGACAGGCTCTTTCGTTGCATGTCGCTGTTATCACGCGATACATGTAATGAAATGATATTTATTCTTTCATGACAATTTCTAACACGCGCGCACTTCCTCTTTTTACGACCGCGAGCGCAGCTAAAGGAGCCGAGAGACATGAAGAAATTAACAGCTCCGTTCTCCTTTTCATTGACCATGAACGGTCCGCGCGGACGTTCAAATATTGACTCGATTCTAACGAATAAGGTAATTTCTAGGCATATCGATGTGTACACCGCGCTCTGATGAAATTCGCGCGCTGTGTGTCTTCATCGATGATACCTCTCGGGCAGAGAGACGCAACTGAGCGTCCTTCCGCGAGACGCGCGTCCAATTTTCATCGTGCGCTCACCGCTTCCTCCTCGGTAAATTTCAGCGACAACATAGACGTTATCGCCATGCTCCGATTCGTGCGCACATTGTTTACCGTTACCGCGTCTCTCGCCGCGTTTAAAAATAATTCGGTGTATTCTCTCAGCCCGGCTCTCAATGTCCGTTAACGACTTCGCCGGTAAAACTCGGACCAACTCCCACTCTCCGTCGCGGTGCTCGCGCTATCCACTCGAGAAACTAAAATGACGGCGAGGTAAACAAACAGATGGCGAGTGCTGCTATCCTGAAATCGACTTCGATCCTTTCAAACCCTCCGCGCGCGCCATTGTCTATTCATCTCGCGCGATCGCGAATTCCATCGCGGACACAGACGAACCGGTGGCCGAATTTCTCCGCTCTCGGTAGCGCGACAATCAATCAAAATCTTCACTCTTCGCAAGCGGAGAGTTCTATGCGCAACTACGAACGCGCGAACGTTCTTGGGCGATAATGAAGCTGGAATCTCGCCGCGACGAGGATATCTTCGTTCGGACATGTAAGTGTGAGAGATAGAGTTCCGCTTCAGCTTGCGCGGAGAAGACAACTCTGTTAACGTAATCTCATTTCCCACTAGCTCGATAGAAGAGTGACCAGGCGGGGAAAATTCGGTTGTAGAAACAGAAAGATTTCCGTAGAAAGCTTCTACTCGGCGAATTTCTCGCGGTTGTCCCGAGCGAATTTCTCGACGAATATTTTCGATCGCTGAAGATATCGTCTCTCGTCACTGACTTTTCATTACCGGTGTTGCTTCGCGGTTGAAGTTTCTTTTCCTGTGTATATGCTTTAGTAACATTTATTAACAGGTTCTCTATATCGGCGGCACCGCAGGAAACTATTCGATTGATATCACTGAATTTTAGTTACGACGACCGAAACTTTCCGTTCAGCAGGAATTAACCGGAAAGGAGGATGTTAAAAAAGTATCGATTTTGGCCCCCAAGGGAAAAGTGAATAAACCTTGATAAATCATTGTTTGAGTCCTCAGATCACAGGGAATAACAATCATTTATCCGACCAGTAGTGGGTCGCAAGAATGGCCTGAATATAGTAAATAATGCTACTAGCCAAAACTTGCAATTACTGATTATTCTAGGCGAATGATATCTCTATATGGTTTCTTATAAGTCGCTTCTATAACGGTAAACAAAAAGAGCAACTTTAAATGATAAAAATAAGGTCATTGTTGTGTACGGCACAAGTAGTCCTATGGAAGCACGCTTGGCGAGTAACACTAAATATTCTCATTAAGTTCTCAATACTTAACATTCAAATGGCTATAACTCCGAACCTATTGAAAACTGGACACATGTTAATTTGACCTTTTTTATTCAAAATGGTCCATACTATAACTTTCTGAAGTATGTAACTTTCCTCCTGAAACACCCATTTTTTGTAGCTAGGTTTTTCTTGAATAACAATAGCCTTTAAAAAGATATTTTTTTTTAATATTGGACACTATTAATAAACATGTTAAATTTTTATAACACGGTATTTTTCCTTGTAAAAGCTTATATGATACTTATATGATACTTATGATACTTATATATCTTAACAGAAGAATAATTTGATAAGTTTTACTTGTAAAAATTATGTTACGTACATAATACATATCTTAAGAAAGGAACTAATTTGAATTTGAGATTTCTAAAGATATTAAGTATACAATGAACTTATATATATATTAAGTTTCTCAGTTGGCGCTACTATTCTAATATATCACTTCTTTTGTACAGTAGAATAGTGTTGTAGAGCTTTATCATATAGTAATAAGGTTTACTTGTAAAAACTTATATACACATATATACCTTAAAAAAATAATTTGAGTTTGAAATTTCTAAAAATAACACAATACGTGTTGCACTTGTACTTGGCGCCTATTTTTTTCCTTTTTCTTTAAAAAGGTAAGTTTTATATAAGTTTTACTTATAATACTATACAACGCCATGTTTACCAGCAATATTAAATTGATAATACTATTGAGTGAAAATTTACAACACAAACGTATATATAAAGGTCAATATGCATACTAAAAAATATACATATATATATATTTCTTTTTATTATATCATAGCCAAAGCACAAACTAGTACAGAAAAGTTATATCAATGCCACAATTTCTTGCAAAACGATGTAACTATAATTTGCAAAATATATTATATTACATTTGCATTCATTTATATTCTTACATAGTTAACTGCAATGTCATATTATTGATATAATACTACTGTTCTAATTCGTGTTAATGGAACATGTAAATATCCAAGTTTACAAATATTTCATCTTATATTAAAATCATCACTTGTACAATATAAAAATTTGCCTATCACATTACATAAAATTAAATTTTAATATTATATTCAGCTCGTCATATAAGCAAAGTATACAGTTACAACATTCGCCATATAATCATCCTTCAATTCTTCTCTATATACCGGTCTCATTATTCCACAGAACAAATTGGGTGCGAGCATGTATATGCGTGTATGCGTATGTACACGCTCATACACGTGCGCGCGCGCATATGGAATAAAATGTAGAAGATATAGAATTAGTGCGAGTACATGTCTAGCGATAAAAACACAATTTAAAAAGGGTTAAATATATAATTTTACAAAAAGATACAATGTAGGATATTTAATATGCGCGGATATTGTGTGTCTGTGTGCGTTTGAGCGTTTAAGAGAATATATGGTTCAGCACATATGTTGAGCGTGTATGCGTATTTGTGTATATAGGCGCGTGTGGGTATAAATAAACTGTATATAAACAAATTAAGCACAAACTGCTTCCTCACATCCTTCTTGTACTTTCTCGATTCGATTCGACAGCCAATTTGTCATTGCTTCTTTAGAAATTTTGCAAAAATGCTCTTGATACCGACTATCATTTTATGGGATTGGAAGTGAATTGGAATGTATTTTCTCCATGTAACTGCGTAAAGACTGCCGCTGGATGTACGCTCGTAACTCGTGCTGTAGTAGATTCAGATGTAGGCGTAGGTTTTGTGCCATGTGGTACAACGTATAAGTCCAATATACCACTCTTGCTGCTATATATCTTATTTCAGACCAAATAAGAAATTGTCATGGCAGCATATATCTGTAAAGGATGAAATAAAGTTTACTTATGTCTTTGCTACACATTGAACAGGCCACCTTTGGATTTCTCCGCAAATCCCTGTGCTCCCTGCGCTTTAAAAAATAACAGTTTACTTGAACATATTTTCAGAACCGGTAAGTCATTGGGAAGATCATATTTTACCTGTTTATTCAGTTCCTGTTCGAGTTTGAATTTCTCCTAGCAGCCATTCTTATTACACACATGGTTGTAATTGCCAATGTGTTTTCATACAACGTGACATATCATGTGTTGTTTAATGTTAGATATGTAATTGCAATCGTTGCAGATGCAGATGCGATATCCTTTGATCTGTTCAGAGGTGATGTGTCAACTTTCTCTTCCTATCGAGACCTTGGTTGCAAATTTTGCACTGCTGAGGCACATTTACGCACTTTTCAATGCTGCTCCCTCTTTTGGAATGTTTGCTGCATGAGTCGCTCTCGGAAGACTCCCACGGGTTCGCACTTTTGCTTTTCTTCTGGTTGACAGGACGATTGTATGTGTGTCTTCAGATCTGCCTACTATTTATACTTTCTGTTATAGATAGGCTCAGTACACCTTTAGTCATAATTGTCCGTGTGATTTCGTACATTGTGTCTTCGCAAGTTATTGTCTTTGTTAAATACATAGTTAACCATGGCTGCAGTTGCGGATGGATTGTTTATAAAGATCTATGAAGTATTTTTTCCATTTTTGCTTAGAAAGGGACATTCCGTTGCAGGTTTTGCATTTCTGAGGTATACTTATGGGCTTCGCAATGCTGGGGCTTCTTCCGAAATGTTTGCCGTACAGGTCACTCTGTGAGGACGGCCCTGTGTTCTCAATACTGCTTTTGTTTTATTTGTCAGGGTGAACGCGTCGTTCGTATTGTCTTAGTTACTTCTAATCTTTTCTCACCCAGTTACAGCCAGTCTCACTACATACTTAGTTTTCATTATTCATGTGCTTTATTAAAAAATGCTTTTGCATGTTTTGCAGGCTGTTGGTTTCGTAATTGCATGTTTTGTCTTCACATATGTGCACGCAATGGTGGTGAACCGTCGCTGAATGATCTATTAACATTGATTTATTACGGAAAATTTGACCACAGATTCTGCATTCTCTAGAAACTTTGTGCTTTTCATTTTTCGTTCTGCTGAAAAGTTTGCCGTATAGATTACTCTCTGAAGACGGTCCCAGCTCCATAGTATTGCTTTCCATCTTATTTTTATGGTTACGTGTCATGTGCATCATCAAAGCATACTTATCCTTATATATCTTGTTACAGCCGGGCTCAGTACACTTGTAGTTGCCGTTGCTCGGTTTTTTTATGTGTGCTCCCTCGTGTCTTTTTAAGTTTGTCTTATATTTGGTTTTGAAGTTGCAATATTTACATTTGTAAAAGTGATATTTGTGGTCCTTCTCGTAGTGATCATACAACTCATATATTTCGTGAAAGTATTGTTTGCAAATTTTGCATTGTTTCGAAATTTTGAAGTACTTTTTAGTGCTGCTCTCCTCGGTGGAATTTTTGCCGCACAAATTATTCTTCAAGTATGGTCCTGGCTGCATAATGTTGGTTCTTTCTTGTTTGTTTGGTTGAAGATGTTGTATGCGGCTCTTCAGCAATATACCATCCTGCAAATTATAAACAAAGTTATAGCCTTACTAAGGACAAGTGTAAACGTCCTTGTGCTTTCGTATAACGTAATTTTGCAAGATTACCATATCGCTACTTTCATAGTTGCAACTGCTGGATTTATTTGTGCCACGTTCGACCTCGTCGAGATGTCGCTTTGTCATATCCATCTTCAGACAGAAGTTCTGTTTGCAGATATTACATTGATAAAATACACTTATACACTTTTCAATGCTTCGCCCATTTTTAACGTTTGTCGCCTTCTGAATGTTGCGTTTTCTCTCTATCGACTCAGTCTTAATTGAGATTCTGATCTCTTTCAATTTGTTTGCCGCAATAATTTGTCCGCGTAAACGCACTGCTTTATTTTTTTTCGAGGTTCGACTAATTACTGATACCTGAAAGAACTGATAACTGACAAGTTTCGACGTGTACTCTGTATGTGTGACGAGGGACTGTTTGAAATTATTGGTACTTACTTGATATCGACAATATCCGAAAGCGAGATATATCAAGTAAACAGAAAAGGTCACGTCAAGACTGCTGCAAATAGACTTTGAACACTTTCTTCATGAGGGAAACACGTGACATAACCGTCGAGAGTCCCAATCACGCACTTACACACGTTGATCGGTTATGATAAGTATCAAAGTCTGACGTAATTGTTGAGCGGGCACGTTTTGGGCGCAGAACCATCGAAGAACTATCTTCGAAACGAGCTGTTTACATTGCTGGGATACACGGAATATTTTAAAGGAATATAAGTCTCTTATGTATTGTTAATATTGTCTATACTTATTGTTATGTATTTTGATATATACTATTTCTTTTATATATTGCGTACTGTTATATATTTATATATTGTACTTGTATAATGTGTGTTAAACATTTATCATATTATTAATTGTTACATTGTATATTTATTGTTATACTTTTATATAATTTTGATGTGTTATATATATTGTTTTTAGTAGATATAATGATATAAATATATCTTGGCATTCTTGATTGATCTGCAATTAAAACTTACTCCTATTAACTGCAATTAAAACTTACTCCTATTAACATACATGATATTTCGGTGGGAACATTTGTTGCTATCAAAAGTTATAATCATTAATTAAAAACTGGTTTTCGTTGCGGAAGTTGATGAGAAGACTTGGTACATGTTTTGTCGTACAGTTACTAATGAATAAAATATGGCGCATTGTTGTATTTAGAAACGCAGGTTTTTGTTACGATAATGCATTACATTTTATGTACACGTAACAAATGCTATTTAAAGTATGATCCGATCTAGATAGTGTACTGTAATTGACTATATATGAAAATATTATAAAGTAAATGTGTAATAAATAAATTTTAATTATTATTATTTAAAATATTGTGAATTTAGCAAAACTGTATGGGACTTTAACGTTTGTCTTAGTCAGCACCATACTTTCATTCGCTATGGCTGTATGAGTTACCAAACATCCTGTATATCTCGTTAGTACAGTCTGTAAAGTAAGAGCGTGTACGGGTTAATGTGTAGAAAAATTTATTTTTAATGATTTTTAAGTACATGGATTTGTTGTGCTCCATGAGAAGAAAAATGCTATACCATTAATAATGAGTCCAGTCACCATCGGCATCGATAATTGCCTGGCATCTCCGAGGCATACTTTCCACTAAGTTGACTGCGTATTCGTTCGTCTCCAAATGAGACGAATTTGTCGTGTCAGCTGCTTCAAAGTGCACACTCTTCTTCCTCGAAGCTTGTGCTTGAGATATGCCCACACATTTTCAATGGGATTTGCATCTGGCGACTGCGATGGCCAATCAAGTGTGACGATGCCAGACTGCTCTTTCCACTCGGTGCAAAGCTTGCTCCGGTGTTTTGGGTCGTTGTCTTCCTGTAAGATCCAGTCCTCGTCTTTTTTTATGAAGCATTGTTCAGCAATCAGCAACAAACACTTCTCATAAACTTTAAGCATTTTCGGAGCATTTAAATTGTATGAAAACAGATGTAATGCTCCAAAACCCTGTTTCGAAAAGCAGCCCCAAATATGAACTTTTACAGGGTGTTTAACAGTCCGTTGTATTAATCTATTGGTCAAGGTTGACCAGGAACGTCGGATGGCAGTATATCCCCAAACAGAAGCTTCGTCCGTAAAGATTACGTTGCTCTAATCTCGGTCCAAATTCTCCTTTGCCCAAGCAAGTCTTTTCGTGACATGTTTTTCGCCTAACAGTGGTTTCTTCATTGTTCTTTTGTAACAAAACATTCACTACAAAGATTTCATCTATCGGCTCACAAAAAACTAGGACGATATTTGAAGCCAACTGCCATTTGTCCATGTCCGTGCATTCCGTCAAACTTTGCAATTTTCAATATACCAAACATGCCCTCAGATGCCGAAAGCAGCGATACTGTAATCTTGCAAAATTACATTTACTTTTACTCAATCATATCGTTATTTTAATATCATTAGTAAACGTTCAGTAAACGTGGTATAGTATATAATATAAAATCATATACACGCATGTATTGTTTGTTTTTTATATTATTATATTATATTATATTATATTATATTATATTATATAACGTAAGGTTTTATTTTATAGTGACTTTTATAGTGACTTTATTTTAAAGTGAGATATTCATACAACGTTACTATAATTCAATATTTTGGTGCTAATTGTACATAAGAAAAGTATCAATTTCGTTATATACGCTGCTCAGAAGAATTATGACATAGATAATATATTGCCGAAAATTGGCCATCTTTGACTAGCGACTACTTGGCGAAAAATTATTGTAGACTAGTGTTTTTTTTTCAAAATGAAGCTCGAAGTCTCTAATAGATTTAAGAATGTGTCCCTATTTTCTGCATACGATGCATCCCTACCTCTGTAACCCCTAACATCTGAGGGCATGTTTGGTATATTGAAAATTGCAAAGTTTAACGGAATGCATGGACGTGGACAATTTTTTTCGGGGACGCCGTTTGCATCAACATAAAGTTCAAATCTTCCCCATCAATTTAAAGAAAAATGGAGTCGCTACAATTTTTTTTCGCAAAGTTACAGCCCTTCAAAAATGTTGTTTTTGGCGTTCGGGCCAAGTGTGCACGCATGTGTGTGTGTTTCCGTGATAGAAGAGATAAAGACCCCGTGGTTCGTCAATTCCACAGTCAATAATTACTGTCGAGACGGAAAATTTTAGTTCCCTCGGTCGAGAGCAGTTATTGATGCGAATGGTTCATCGGTTTGCGAAACGGAATTATCCGTTACTGCGATTGAAACTCAGAAAGTTTCAGTAATAGAAAATTTCAAGTTGTTGCTACAGAATATTTTTCTGAATACAAATAGGACATTAATCGCCCGAACATTATTTGAAACGTTTTTAAGTCAAGCGTGCTCATTATCGCGGCGATGATCTCTACGTTAATGCAACAGTCAAATGGATTTTCTATTATCAGTCGATGTAATGGAATTTGGACACGCTTCGATACAAAACACGTGTCCATGTGTTTCGATATTCAATATTTGGGCGTTTCAGTTTGTTGAATCAAACGCGCCGTGAGTAGTAGTAACGTATGCGGTTTGTTGATAAAAACGAACAATATATTTTAACCGGTGAATGCTGGGCGTACTAAGCTCCCGGATAACTTTCTATCACGCCAAATGGAAGATTCTGTCGCGCGTTTATTCAAAATGAGTATTGCTCGGCGCGACGATGGATATAGTGCCATCCGCCTCGTTATTCTCGTCAGTCCACGAGCTGATTAAGCTGTGTACGCTATATCAATATTTGGAGTGGCTCGGGACGAAGGTTTAATGCACAATAGCCGAATAACGAGGGAGATGGGCCTGATGGACACGCCGATAACTGATGACTCCTTTTGTCTCGCGTCGCAATATTCGCGTACAAGTCTGATGTGTAAAAATATTTCGCACGCGGACTAACGCGATTAGACAATGCCCGAATTACTTGCAAAATATGCGTGCGCAAAAGTAAAAGCGTGATAAAAGCGAAGATTATCAATATTAGATCTACAGAACGACACACGAATTTAATGGAATAGTGAATAGCATCCCAAAAACTTTTTTATTTTTTTATTTAAAACATATTGGATGTACAAATTAGTTCGGTCCGTTTTCAAAAGATGGCTCCGGCTGTTATGAATGGTTCATAGTGACTGCTGATTTTGGCGGTTTTAGAGAGGTTAGACATCTGCCAATAATATTCAGTTTATATCGCTTTGAGTTTCATACAAAAACCTTGCTTTTTACAGTGTTGAAAATGTCGAATTTTGTGTTAACCAAGCAGCATTTGCGGGAGGTTTTAATTTTCTGCTTTAATTGGAAGAAAAGTGCAGCTGAAGCCCATCGAATGCTTGTTGAAATTTATGGTGACGCTGCTCCAACTGATAAATCATGTAGGGAACGGTTTCGACGTTTCAAGGATGGAGATTTCCGACACCAGGCGCTGCCGTAGCGCCCCTGGTGTCGGAATAAAAAGAAGCACGCATATCACCACTCCTGTGCGTCCGAAGTTTCTTACTTTCTTATACTGAATCGAAATTTTCCGTGATTAGGAGTTTATCTTAAAATACCTTCTTACCTACTTAGAGACAATGTACACAAAAATCACTTAAAAGAAAAATAATTTGATAAGTTTTACTTGTAAAAAATTATGTTATGTACATAATACATATCTTAAAAAAGGAAATAACTTGAATTTGAGATTTCTAAAGATATTAAGTATACAATAATCATATATATATATTAAGTTTCTCAATTGGCGCCACTATTCTAATATATCACTTCTTTTGTACAGTAGAATAGTGTTGTAGAGTTTTATCATATAGTAATAAGGTTTATTTGTAAAAACTTATGTACACATGTATACCTTAAAAAAATAATTTGGGTTTGAAATTTCTAAAAATAACACAATACGTGTTGCACTTGTACTTGACGCCTATTTTTTCCTTTTTCTTTAAAAAGGTAAGTTTTATATAAGTTTTACTTATAATACTATACAACGCCATGTTTACCAGCAATATTAAATTGATAATACTATTGAGTGAAAATTTACAACACATACGTATATATAAAGGTCAATATACATACTAAAAAATATACATATATATATATATATTTCTTTTTATTATATCATAGTCAAAGCACAAACTAGAAAAGTTATATCAATGCCACAATTTCTTGCAAAACGATGTAACTATAATTTGCAAAATATATTATATTACATTTGCATTCATTTATATTCTTACATAGTTAACTGCAATGTCATATTATTGATGTAATACTACTGTTCTAATTCGTATTAATAGAACATGTAAATATCCAAGTTTACAAACATATCATCTTATATTAAAATCATCACTTGTACAATATAAAAATTTGCCTATCACATTACATAAAATTAAATTTTAATATTATATTCAGCTCGTCATATAAGCAAAGTATACAGTTACAACATTCGCCATATAATCATCCTTCAATTCTTCTCTATATATCGGTCTCATTATTCCACAGAACAAATTGGGTGCGAGCATGTATATGCGTGTATGCGTATGTACACGCTCATACACGTGCGCGCGCGCATATGTAATAAAATGTAGAAGATATAGAATTAGTGCGAGTGCATGTCCAGCGATAGAAACACAATTTAAAAAGGGTTAAATATATAATTTTACAAAAAGACACAATGTGGGATATTTAATATGCGCGG